TCCAGATTACTCTTCTCAGCAGCAGATAATTAATAATGGGTAAACTAATCCACCTAACATGTAAGCTCCAGCTGGCAGGATGACAGTGAGAGCCAGAGGTTGGCAAAAGTGGCAGCAGCTCAAGCTGCTGTCATGAGTCACTCCTCTGTCTCCTTTTGGCCATTTCTCTGCCTGTCTCTACAGTTTTCATCTTCATGGTCCAGACGAACTCGTTTGCTCTTCAGTGTGCTCTTCTTTGGGTAGCTCTTCTCCGTTTGCTATAGTGACTAGTGAGGGGGCAGTGACAGCATGTCTGCCATCTACTGAAGACATCTTCCCAGTGCTCTGTTCCTATGTTACCCTGCCCCCCACGCCCTCCCTGCAAGTACATGACTGGCTGGTGGTGCAGCTCCCCTTGCAGCTAGACTAAGCTCTCTAACCTAGCATCAAAGCTCCTGGCCTTGTCTATGACTGTCTTAACAACAGCCAAAGCTATAAGGTCTAGAACACTGAGAAGATGGTCATAGAGGAGTTGAAATCATCCAGAAATGACATCTCATGGAAGAGCAGATAGAATAATTATCCACAGTATATGCAGATATATGCTGTATATATGCACATGTATATGCACACAACACATTCACGCATGTACCACTGTTCAAAGACCAGTTGCTTTTTTGTGATTTTGTGATTCTGACTTTTGAGATTAGTTTTGTGGTTCTGACTTTTAGATAGAGCCATGAAGTAGCATGCATTCTTTTGTGCCTTGCTCTGTTGTTCAACATTTCATTTGAGTTTTGTGCACATGGGGAACTGTATAGGAATCTATTGTGTGAAAGTTTAGTAAGAGCTGCGCCACTTTTCTGGTGAGAACCATTCAGATAGATTTTAGTTTTCACTATTAATAAATAACCCACCTATGGTTTTTATATATACATGCATAAATGCTTAATAAATAGATACACAAATGTTTTCCCTGTGTATCTGTCTACTGGTGAATTTCTGAGTCACAGGTAGGGACATGTTCTTATCTTTGGCAAATATATTGCCAAATTGTTTTCTGAAATAATTTTAAATGTTGACTAGTTTAACAACAATATTTTTTCTAGCTAGTTCACGTTCTCTTTTTGTTAATATAAAAAATTTATGAAAAAATTTCACAATGACTTCAGTGTGCACATAGAAATTGGTTGATCCCAGATAATCATTTCCTGACTCTCACCTCTGAATTCTCCTTGTGGATCCAGTGTCTCATAGTAAACTCTCTGAAATCTACCTGAATCCTTACTAGTAACATAAACTTAGAGTAATAATTCATATTCTGTGAGCAAATTACAAGATTCTTGCCATCTATAAAATACTAGGATTAAAAGACACATTTGCAAGCATTATAAGAAAAAGATGACTGGATGCTTTCTGAAAACCAGACTCATACTGATTTTTCTTTATTTTTAAGATTATAATATAATTATACCTTTCCTCCATTCTCGTTCTTCCCTCTAGACCCTTACATATGCCCTTTTTTCTCTTTTAAGTTCATAACCTCTCTTTCTTTTAATTGTTTTATATCCATATATGTATATAAATATAAATTCCCAAAGAAGTCTGAGCACTGTCACTACCATGCACATCTTCCAGACTACTTACTGTTGAACAACCATTTGATGTGCTCTTCCCTAGGAAAGACTACTTCCCCTGTTCTCAGCCTTCTTTAGGTGCCTGTAACTCTTACGCAAGGCGGGAGCCACTTTGGCTTTTCCCTGTCACAGTAGCATCTCTGTTGCTGCTGTCCTTGTTCAGCTCTTGTTTAAGCAGCCATGCTGCTGAGAAGCTGTGGGTGTGGCTTCTGATATTACTAGGAAACATATTCTCATAGCTCTTAGACTCTTTGCCCTCCTCTTCTGTAGTGTCTCCTAAACCTTTGTTGTTGGTGTTTGGTAGATGTGTCATTGGGATTGGCTCCACAACACGGCATTTAGGTTGCTTGTGATTGTGTTTCTCTGTACTTTAATAAACCAACATAATCCCTGACTACATTCTAAACATTTAGCCTTGTGCCCACAGTGTACTCTTCATGCCTCATCAGGGAAACTTTGTAACAGAGTATCTGTTATACTTCCTTAACACAGTGAGCTGTTCATAGCACAGACATAATAAATATTGATTGAATCAATCAGACACATTAGTGCCTCCCAAGTTCTGGAATTGAGACAAGATGACACAGCGCCAGGCCTGGGGACAATGAAAACTGTAATCAAGTCTGCTAAGTTCCAGAGGGCTAATGGTTAGTATATCTGAATTAAAATGAATGAAGGGTTTATATCTAAACTTTCTAACACATAAAGATACCTCAAATGTATTGTACATGACAGATTTAATGTGGCAAAATTACACATGTAAGCAAATAATCTCATCTTTAAAAAATGTTTAAATGTAAAACACAAAATCTTCATTTTAGTTCTTTCTGCCTTCTGTAATTTACAAAATATCTTTGAAATATTCATCACTTGTAAGAGACAAACTTTTCACTGATTGTGACAGTTCTAAATTTTTTCTGTTGATATGTGGAGATGAGACCTGAGAACCATGTGTTCCTGCCGTGGCACAGTCCTCCCAGCACCTATCCTGGCTCAGTACCCAACAAGTGTCAAACGTGCTTAAGCACCAGGCTTTAGACAGACAGCAGTAGTCGGTATGGCACGTGCAGTCTGTTTCTTTCTGTCTTGTCACTTCAGAGTACTCCTTTTGTCTGCTGCTGATTTTTTTTTTAAAGCAGTATGATAGACTTCTGTCTTCTGGGTACAATGTCTAGATGGTGACAAAAATTTCAGGAGTCCTTTTCAAGTCTAACTTCATAATTGACACAATTCAATCCTCTATTTAACTCAAGGGAATTAAAACCAAGAAAGGCATCTCAGACAAGAGAACAAAATGTGTGTCTGTGTGTGTGTAGATGGATATATATATATATATATATATATATATATATATATATATATATGCAATGATAAGCTGATATTTATACAGTATCTTTTTTTACTCTTATGTAATGTATTTTAGATATTTGGTTATATGCTATGATAGTTAAATCTACATTTACTATTAATTTCCCAAGGGTTTTACTTGTCACCTTGATAACATATTAACACCTAGCACCTTAGCATAATCAGGTTGTCTGCCTTTTGGCTTGCTTGGAATAAAATTGACACATCCCAGGTTGGGGGTAGCTAGTCATGGTTAATTGTGCATAGTCAAAAGGTCAAGGAGGATTGTGTAGTAAATTCATTTTTAATGATCTGTGCAACTAAATGAAGGTACCTGGATTTTAACATAATCACATATAGCTGATAATTCTGCACTTCCTTTGGTTATTCTGTTATCTGCTACTACTAGCAGATCTTAATAATTTATACTTTGTTCGATGTTTAGCCACTGGTAAGAACAGTTTCTGCACGTCCTATGGGAATTCACAAGCATTTTTATTTGCATCACCTAGTTTAATCCTCACTTCTCTCTTGAGGCACATGTCACCTCAGTTTTACAGGTGAGAGAACTGAACACCCTGGACTGCCTAACACCACACCACTGACTCACAGCCAAGAGTCCTAACTTCAGCCTTGTGCTCTTTCAGCTATCATAAGAAAAGCCACATGGCTGTGAACCTGGAAACATGGAGACAATTCTATTAGTGTATGTCTCCCCCCTGAAGCTACCTCTAGTTGTCAATATTGAATGATATTTGGGGGGCTCTATGGTGTGTTTATTCAAGGACACAGATTAATGGTCGGAAGCTTTACTTTCGGCTGAGCTCTAAAATCCTTCAGCTTGGTCTTCTCCATGGTGGTCGTGCCAGGGAACAAGGCCGTTGTCCTGGACTGCAGAACTTCATTTACATCACACGCCAGCTCCAGGGAGGCAGTAGCTGCCCTCGTGCATCTAAATAGAATTAGTTTGCAGTGTGTTTATTTGTCGACACAGTAAAGGGTGTATTCCAGTATATTTCATCAGCATCTGCCATGGATATGGAGTCTTTATTAACTATGCACAGGTAATGAGCCAATCAGCTGACCACTAGGAGAGACTCGTATGATCAGAGGCTACAGCAGCTGAGAGACAACATAAACATCAATGGGTAAAACAAGTACAGAGACCCATAGGAAGACAACATGCAAAAGTTAGAGAACTCAGAACTCTCAACTCAAACAAGATGCTTCCAGCAAAAACCTCCCCCGAGGGCTCAGCCCAGCAGAATAGGAGGTGGCAAGAGCTTAAGAGCCAGAAGGGATGGAAAACACTAAGGAAGCGAGGCTTTCTAAATCAACGTTATAGATGCACATACAAACTCACAGAGACTGCGGCAGCAGGCACAAGGCCTACACGGGTCTGCACCAGATTGGCTTCTATATTTGAAAGGAGAAGTGGACACATGCCTCCAGCCCTAACCCAGAAGCTCTCTATAATTGAAAACCACTTGCAAATGAAAATTTAGTTTTCTCCATGGAGTCTCACTTGTCCCAGCAATAGAAGGCCAAGAGAAATTGTACTCCAGAGGTCCAAGTCATTTGTTATTATTTAACTCTTTTTTTATTTTATTAATTAATTTTTTATTTATTTATATCTCTTTTTACCCTACAGATACTTTGCATATATAATAATGGCTTCCACCTTAGTGCTTGCATAGGCGTCCTGAGTGTGTGAATGAGTGGGCTCTCTTCCTTGTGCCTTCCTATGGGCTCTTTTCCTTCTGCTTGTTTTACCCTATTTGATGTGTTAGTTTTTGTTCTATCTTACATTATTTTATTATGATCCCTTAGAAGCCTTTCTGTTTTCTAATGACAGAAGAAAAGGTGGTGGATCTGGATGTGAGGGGAAAAGGGGAGGGACGGGAGGAGTACAGGGAGGGAAACTGTCATCCGGACATATTATGTAAGAAAAAGAATCTATTTTTAACAAAAGGAAAAATGAAAATTAGGAATTAAAAAGAACCTGAGAGATAACTCCTGATTTTCTTTCTACTGTAGGCTTGCCTCTTCACTGCCTCAGACCTTGAAAGAGGAGAGCACCTCTGCTGAAAACATGTCTTTAGAAACCCTGAAAAACAGCAGCCCAGAAGATCTCTTTGATTAGATATAAACCCTAGAAAACAACACTGGTGTTCATTAAACTGTATTCTTTATCCAGTTCCTTTGGATGAGAAGACAGGCTTTCTTCTTCGCAGCCATGGTTACTGTGTTTTACAGCTGCGCTATATTTACCCAATGGATTATACGAGTGTGTGATGATCAGACTGGATGACAGAGAAACACTTTCCTATTCCGTTGTTTGTTAAATCTGAGTTTTGTTACAAAGGACACATTTGTCGTATTTGTTTACACATTATTGTAACTTTCTAATGACTCTTGGAAGATTTTGGAAATAGAGAAAAAAATCTTTAATTCTTTTTTTAATTGCACTTTAAATTATTTTTGTTTGAACATTTTAATTTATGATATGACACATACAAAATACATCTTTATCTTGTGTGTAAACAATCTGAAAATCTGATAGTTAATAAACGTTTGTGTTCTTAAAGGAACTTTATTTAACTGAACTTTTTCTTTATTGCAGTGACTTGCCTTTCTAAAGTGCTTACTGTTAGGCATCCTATGTCCCAGTGATGGTGGCCCCACACCCATGCACACACTGACAGTGATGGTGG